GACGACGAACTGGTCTTGCATTTTTGTACCAGTGTTTAATTGTATTACGAAATAGTTGAAAAGATGTTTCATCGCTAAAAAGTGTTTTTTTCCAGTCGTCATCTTTATGTTTTTGTACCCATTCAATACGTTTTTCTTTATGAATAGACGTGAGCATTGGTGTACAGAAAGGGAGAGCATTTTGATATCCAAGGTTGGTCAAATGTCTTGAAACTGTTAAACGGGAAGCATTTACTCCAATATCTTCTAATTTAGAAGCAAGAGACTTAGCAGAAAGTGATGGTTGCCTTCGGATATACTGCCCAATTGCTCGAGATGCTGCTGGTGTTATTTTTCTGATACGTCCATTACCACCTTTATGTTTGACATTCCCGGTTTCTTTTATTTTTTTAAGGTTTCGATAGATAGTTTTAAGTGGAATGTTTGTTAATGAGTATATTTTCGAAGCATTGCATATTCCTTGCCTCCAGAAATGTAATATTGTTTGTCGTTGTGTTTCTTGCTTGGAGGGGGCCATTGTAACGATTGGAAAAATATAATTTTTATTATTAGGTGGAAAATTTTTTTCACAGAACGATAGACAATCATGTGGAATTTATTTGTGTATTAATTTGTGTAATTCTGGCCAAAATCGGAATAGTTACACTTGTTGATCATTTTTTTAAAAAATTGTCATTTTTTTTGAACACCACTGTAATTGCATTATCCGTTATATATAAGAGCACTTCTGTGAATTCAGAATAGACATCAATAACGCCTTTATGTGAAGTTAGCTTAATGATAAGCAAGTGAATAAAGAGAAAAAGAAAAAATAAAGAAGAATTTAAAATACATTAAAAAGTACTGTTAATAAAAAAATTTAATATTGACAAATTTTTGGTTTCAGCAAGATTTCGCTAAGTTACAAAGTATAATGACTTAATTTATATTTAATGACTCAAACTAATTCTCAAAAAGCTCGTATTTTCTTTATACCATGAATAGAGTTGGGCAGTGGAATTTGTTTTCATATTTGTCAAAATATTTCAATATGTCTAAATAAAAGTCAAATGTTTAATATATATTAAAATGTCTAAATGCATGTTGGATTCTAAATATATGTCACCTGAGAGAAGACGTTCACTATAATAATGGCCATGAAGCGCTTTCTATTCTCTCAGTTACGTATGTATCCATTATTTTCAAGGCGCATGTATATAACAATAACTGTTAAAATTAATATAAATTATAATTATATATCAATTCGAGGTGAAATAATCAACAATTGAACAATTAAATATATGTCAATAGTCAAAATGTACGTCAAAAATTC